TAAAATAATATAAAATATGAAAATAGTGTATATAATTAAGTACTTATTTGAAAAGAAGATAAAAGTATAAATGGTAAATACGTTGCTGTTGTGCAATGACTAGATCCATACTACGTAAGAGTAATAATGCATATTATTAAATGGGCTATATAAACTGCTCAAATAATACGTTTATGTATGTTACCAATCCTTTTTTATCGATAACTTAACAAACATATGACCCAAAAAAAGAAGAATAAAAGATTACAATTGCTGATAAAATATAGAAATAAAAGTTGGTAAAATTAATAGATTTCGATCTACTGTTCTAGTAAGTTTCAGTAGACTCTCTTCCTAATTGCATTTATTAAAGAGTTTTTTCCAATGTTAAAATGCTAGTTTATTCGAAGTAAACTTACAAAAGACTCTCTTCCTAATTGCATTTATTAAAGAGTTTTTTTTTGTCCAAATTTCTGTTAGTCATACTTAATTATACGGAACATGGATGTACTAAGAGTTTCCCAATCCCAATTAGTGTGTAATTTGACAAAATCAGAGCTTCTAAGTCAGTCAAATCAAGACCAACAAATAAACTCTAACCTTTTTAACAAACATAAATAAATAATGACGTGGAAACGAAAGTTTTTGTTTTTATTTTTCGTCAATGATGAAAGTTTGAATATTGTGATACTAAAAATCACTATATAAAAAGCCATGCATCTTCATGTAGCTAGAACAACCCTTACAACACCAAAAAAAATCAGAGCTCAATAAACTCAATCTTGCCTTGTCTCTTAACTCATCCTTTATTCCCCCTAGTAATCTACAAAATGGAAAACGCTAAAACAGTTAGATTTTCTAGCTGTCGAGGAGTCGCGTTTGAGATCAAACCTCATGCGAATCCTTTCGCTATCGATACAAATGATCAAAACCGCGACGCAAACGCTGAACGAGAGGAGATGAGTAGCAGCAGGTTCCGCAGACTTCCATGGGATTTCATGAGAAACGCCTCAAAAGTTTTCCCTTCGGCGATTCAACACTCCATGAGCCGGACAAGTAGCCATTTCTGCGATTTGGACTCCGACAACGACGAAAAAGAAGACGAAGAAAAAGACGAACTTTACTACATAGAAGAAGGTGGGATCAAAGAAGGAGACGAAGAACATAGTGAAACCGAGGAAAAAGCGATTCTTGCTTCTTCCGGAAGCAAACACAGCGAGAAACCGCAGCAACCGCCGATTCCAAAGAAACGCCCTTCAAGACTATCAATCATACTTCTTGACCAAGGATTGTTCACCGTTTACAAACGTCTCTTCGTCCTTTCCATGTTCCTAAACATCCTAGCTCTCGTTCTCGCGGCCACGGGATATTTCGCTTACGCTAGAAACAGAGCAGCTCTGTTTTCAATCGCCAACATTCTTGCCCTAACTCTTTGCAGAAGCGAAGCCTTCTTGAGAGTCATCTTTTACCTAACCGTTAAGCTCCTTGGACACTCCTTTATCCCTCTTCAAATCAAAATCGGGGTCACATCGCTCTTACAAAGCCTCGGCGGTATCCATAGCGGTTGCGGTGTTTCCTCAATCGCGTGGCTCGTCTACGCATTAGTTCTCACTCTTAAAGACAGAGACAACACTTCAACAGCGATCATAGCGGTTGCTTCCTCGATTCTAGCTCTCCTCTGCCTCACTTCTTTAGCCGCCTTTCCTCTCGTTCGCCATCTACACCACAACGTTTTCGAACGCATCCATAGATTCGCCGGTTGGACCGCTTTAGGCCTTGTTTGGGCGTTTATAGTTCTTACAATCTCCTACGATCCAATATCAAGATCCTACTCCGATAACCTCGGCTCGAAACTGATCAAAACGCAAGAGTTTTGGTTTACGCTAACGATCACAATCGCGATTTTGCTCCCTTGGTTAACCGTGAGACGTGTTCCGGTTAACGTATCGTCTCTCTCGGGTCATGCTTCGTTGATCAAATACAGAGGAGGAGTGAAATCAGGGATCTTAGGTCGGATTAGTCCATCGCCGTTATCGGAATGGCATGCGTTTGGTATTATCTCCGATGGGAAGACATCGCACATGATGTTAGCTGGTGCTGTCGGAGACTTTACCAAGTCCTTAGTCTCAAAACCACCGACGCATTTATGGGTCCGTACGGTTCACTTCGCTGGTTTACCCTATCTGGTTAACTTGTATGACAAGGTAAATAAGTCTCTCTAAAAAGTTAGGTTTTTTTTAACTAGTAACAGATTTAACAGATTTTTTGGTTGGATTTTTCACTGCTTTTAAATCAAATATCAGTTGATAAATATTGGCCAAAAAATATATCAAACGTAATTGATTTTTAATCAGAATTTTTATAGAAAATCGCGGTAAGAATGAGAAAAATGATCATCTATCAAACATTTTAGATATTTCTTGAATTGTTATCATTGTAAAAAATAACGATTCCATTTACACTTAAATATCATGAATATTACTACTAAACTAACAATTTCTTCTTCTTTTTTTACAGGTATTACTTGTGGCTACGGGTTCGGGGATTTGTGTCTTTTTATCGTTTCTTATGCAAGAAAGTAAAGCCGAGGTATATTTGATATGGGTGGCTAAAGGGTTAGATGAGAATTTTGGGTCGGAGATTGTGAATAGGATTAGAGATTATCCTCATCAAGACAGGATCATAGTTCATGATACTGCCATTCTAGGACGACCAAATGTGTCGAAAATGAGCGTAGAAGCTTCCAAGAAGTTTGGAGCTCAAGTTGTGATTGTTACAAGTAATCCTGAAGGAAGTCGTGATGTTGTTAATGCTTGTAAAGCTTCTGGTGTTCCTTCTTTTGGTCCCATTTGGGATTCTTAGATTACTAA